TCAAACATTAGTTCACATGTTTTCTTTAAAAATAGATGTTGATTTTAATAAAAAGAAGGATTTGATTTGTGTATATGTGTGACAAGGATTTAACTATTAAGGAATCAGTTAATATAAGAGTATATATGATGTAAACAATGAGAAAGTCAGGTGTTAATATTTTATGCACAACTACTTTATGCACTGTGATGTTTTATGCAATGTAATTGTTATGATTGTTTGTCTTTTGTAAATTTTTAATTGAATTCTTTTAGTAGTTAATTTTTAAATAGGATTAGGATGATATTTATTATTTATTTATTTATTTTGATACATTTTTTTTGTGCTTGAGTTTATTTAGTTTTTTGTTGTTGTAATTGGTCTTTATTTATTTTATTTTTTAAACTGTTTGAACTTAAGACATGTTGAAGTTCTATTATGCATTCTTAAAAAAATCTTTTGTTGACCTCTTTGGTAATAAATATATTTTTTTTGTAAATTATGTAGTAAATCAAATTGTAAAATAAAAAATTAGTGGTCCGGCCCGCCAACCCGTCAACTCGTTACTAAACGGGGCGACCTTGGAATTTGAGCTTGGACGTCTAAGTTGACCTGCCCCGTTTTTAGACGGGCTTGAACGGGGCGGGCTGCCCACTTTGCCATCCCTACCGGAGAACGTACCAAAACTTTAAATTTATGACGTCTCTGATGAAGGCCTCGGGGACTTGCGACGAGTGCCCTGAGGACATAAGTCGAAGGTCTCAAGGACCTAAAGGAGGTCCCGAGGATCTGGGATAAAGGGCTCGAGAATGTTAGATGAAGGTCTCAAGGACTTGCGACGAGTGCCCCGAGGAGATAAGACGAAGGTCTCGAGGACCTAAAGGAGGTCCCGAGGATCTAGGATAAAGGGCTCGAGAATGTTAGATGAAGGTCTCAAGGACCTGATGAAGGTCCCGAGGACCTGGGATGAGGACCCCGAGGACGTTAGATGAAGGTTTCGAGGACCTGATGAAGGTCTCGAGGACCTTTGCTGAAGGTCTCGGGGGTCATATCCCTGTTCTCTCGTTGACGTGGTGAGGTAATCCCTGTCCAAGAGGTTCCTCTGGACGGGCGGGTCTCATAGTCGAAGAGGAACTTCTTCTAGATGAGTACCCTAGTTGGGTGTTTTTGGTCGGGGAGCCCTGTCTGGTGGCTATGTATCTCTATTCACCCTTTCACTTGATTTGCGGTGGAATGATGGATTTGATCTGGAATGTTGAATTCACCGTTTTCCTCTACTTTTTAGGTAAAAATGGCTGCAAAGATTAAGGCGGTCATCGATATTGATGATGAGCTCAATTTCCCGGTCGTGCAGACCAGAGAGGTTAGAAAGCAGACTGCTGAGGATTGGGCTGGGCAGAAGCCCCTGAGCATCCCCTCTCGCTTTGTCGTGGACGACTTAGATGTTTATACTACTATCGATGACCATTGTGAGGGCTCCTCTCTGAACTGACAGGTGTAGAAACCTCTGGAACACCATCGGATATGCTCGTCTTTCAAAGGGATGAGGTTTCCCATGTATGAATTCACTTTCTGAGAAGCGGGCCTGCATTTGCCCTTCAGTGATTTCCAACGAGGAGTTCTGGACTGTCTACACCTGGCGCCTTTGCATCTTCATCCCAACATAATTGTATTCGTGCAGGCGTACAAGCTCGTATGTTGGTACCTCAATGTCGGTACCATGCTAACTCTTTTCTTCCGCATCTTCCATCTACAACAATAGAGTTTGAGGGCCGACACAGCTGGGTGTCCCTGTAGTAGCCAATGAGACTGTTTTGGGCGTACCTAGACTTTATTCATACTTTCAAATATTGGTGCTTCGTTGTCAAACCCATCACCCACGTGGTCGTCGACTCGCTGTATGACCTTGTGGGCAGGGAGGAAAACGGGCAACAGGAGGAGGTCTTAGAATCAAAGTTTCCATTGGAATGGACGGAGAACCATTTCAAAAGGGGTGCGGACAACTACATCGTTAGGCCCAACTCATTGGATGCCGAGGACTGGCTGGCCTACCAGAAGCTGTTCGAGTTTGTCTTCGGCTTCACCTCTGCCAAATCTGTGACTCTGGACGGGAATTTTATCCTCGACGCCTGCAGGGAGGTTCTTCGAGAGCCACGGTTGATAAACACGAAGGCCCTCCTCGAGTGTGCGTCCGATGAGGAAGCCTTATGGTTCTTAGATAGCAGGCACCCCCTTCACTCGGGTTCAATCTATGTTTCCGTCGTTGGTTTGCTATTTGCTGACTTGCTTGTTTTTTCTTTTGCAGGTGAGATATCGAGCTTGCAAGAATGCGTGAAGAAGCGGACAACCACCAAGGGTGGGAAGAAGGCTGGAAAGGGGTGAGTGGCCCAATTTCAGCAGATGCCAATCCCCAACCATACACGCGAAGGCTCGTCCACTTCACCCCAAGGCAGCCAATCTCCGACGTCGCAGGGGACCCCCAAACGACAGCGCGTCGACGATCCCTAGACCGTCGAACTCACATGGAGTATCTTTGGGGAGAAGTTTGTGCTCTCACCCAGCTATCTGCATCATGATTTCTTTTGCGGGCCAACTCCCCGATCGTGAGTGCTGCTGAGTCCAAGGCCACTTTGGGCTTTGACCGGAAGGCGAGGAGGAAAGCCTTGTCAAAGGATATGGCCGCGATGATGCGGGTCTTCGAAATGGCTTTGGCCTTCAACAATGAGACTTGCCCCTTGTCTGACCTGACCAAGCTACAAAATGACCTCGCGACCGACAAGGCTGAGAGAAACAAGCTAGCGACTGACCTCGACGAGTGCAAGGAAAGGAATGCAGCCCAGCTCAAGCTCTACGGCGAGATGGAGAAAAAGGTGAAGGTTGCCGATGAGGAGAGGACAAAGCTCTTGGCGAGGATCACCGAGTTGGAGGAAGCTGCAAGGCTTGCTGAGGACGAGTCCGCCGAAGAGAAGCTTATGGCATATCAGATTGACCTGGTATCGAAGATCCGGGAGCTCGAGCAGGATTTTCTAGGGGATCTCGAGGTGGGTTTTCATTATGTTGTAGAGCAGCTCCAACTCGTGAACCCGAGCGTCCAACTCGTTATTGAAGGCATAAACCTTTATCACTAGGTGGTCAAGGGGCGTGTGGTCGCGCCTGAAGCCGAAGATGAAGATGATGGTCAAGTCGTGGTGGGCGACCAACCTGAGGAGAATGTAGTTGCCTAACATTGTTTTCTTGTTTTTCTTTTTTGGCATGCGTGCCTATTTTAATGTAATTGTCTTTGGCCTGCGTGTCATATTCTGTAACATTTGAACAATGGGCTCCGCCAGTATTTTGGGAATGTAGTATTTCAGTTTTATGTTGTGCGTGCCTTATTTTTCTTGTTTTTCATGTATGTATGAAATAACGTTGTTGTTTGCTCATCATCAGGGTTTTGCATGTATGTGGATGAAAAGAGCTTCCGCTTAAGGGGGAGCATTGTGGAAGCATTCTGGATAGACTCACACTTGAGGGATAGTGTTAAGTATTACAAGTGTGAGTAGTCTGAATAATAGTCTCACATTGGCTAGAAATGTGGAGACTTGAGCATTTATAAGTGGGATAGCCCATACACCTATCACCTTAAAGTTTTGGGTGAATATGTGGTGTCTCTCTCACAAATATGTGTTGCTCTAGAGAAAGAAAGTCCCACAATGTTCAATGCTCCCTAGTGAAAATTTCCCCTAACAGTACTCATATGCATGTTTATGAGTAAAAGTTCACTTGCACGGCATTATTAAATTATGCTTGTGGATTAGTCTGATTTTCATAGGTCATTGGCTAGTCCGAAACTTAGTAATTTATGTTTATCCAGCTACATGTTTTCTTCACGTAAAAACAATTCGATGACTCCTATTATAAAACTAAAGTATATTGAATATTATTAATACTTTTTTGTTAAGTAACCTAATATAATTTCACATCTTAAAAATGAATAAGTGAGATGTCGCATACTCAAATACAAATTTACGCAATCATATATTCCCACATAACTATCCATTACACTATTTTAATAAGACCCGGGTATTATTAAATTGATACATGGTTAGGGGTGAAAATAGGCTGGGGCGAGTTAGGCTTTGCCAAGCCTAAGTCTGTCCTGCAAAAAAAACTAAAGCCTAAGTCTGCCCTGTAGCCTATTATGAGCTTATTTTCAGGTCTGAGTCTGACATTTTCTAAGGTCTGGTTAACCTATCAGTCTACATAAAAGCCTGTTATTTTAAATAGACTAACGAACTAAAAAATCAATTCGACTAAAAGTTTGTTTACATTGACTTATTTTAACTTACATATTAGCATAAGTTTTGTAAGATTATTTGTTTAAGATAACTTATGAAAATAACTTATAACATTGTTCATAAGGTGCTTTCATCTTATTTTCACAAGTTCTCTAAGATAACCCATTTTTATTTATGTATTTTAACTCAAAGTACAAAACATAACATAATGATAATAAAATGCCAATCTGTTAGATTTAAAAGACTTTTTTTATGACATGAGACTTAACCTTTTAAACTAAATAGACTTATCAAAAAGTCTAAGCCTTTTCTATTTAAAAAAGTTTAATCTAACTTGAGCATGTGTAAATTAGACCCATAGACCCCTGTTATATGCCTAATCTATATCCACCCCCTGCACATGGCTAATAAACCTTGGTTTTGGTTATCTCCACTATATTGAGATTAATTAATATTTAAAACATTTTCTCATGGAAAAAAAGTGTTCAATTAATTAATATTTAAAATATAGTAAATTTTACAAGCCCCTTGAGCAAGAAAACAATAGTAAGAAAAGCAAAAGCCCATTGCTCCTCATTCCCAAACCTCCAAGTGTGAAGACTGAAGCACAGACAAACAACCCACAAACTTTCTCTTCTTTTAGGTAACTCGCATCTCACACTCCTTCTCTTCTTTGTTCCTCCTTTTCTAATTTCTCAAGCCTCCGCCATTTTTATGCAGTGATCTAATCAAATCGAATCCAAAATGTTTCTCACAAGGTAAAACCCTTCTCTCTCTCCATCTCTCTCTCCTTTATCGCACAATTTTTCATTTCAGGGTTTCTCTATCTCGTTAGATTTCAATTTCATAGATAATCCACGTTCTCCCCAAATGTATTAGGGTTTTGTTTCTAGGTCTAATTAATTGCTATTATCTGAACGAATTAGGACTGAGTATGACCGAGGAGTCAACACCTTTTCTCCTGAAGGCCGTTTGTTTCAGGTTGAATATGCAATCGAAGCCATCAAGGTATTCTGTTTGTTTTGTTTTCCCCTGATCTCGTTTTTCTTTTATAGGGTTTAGAACAACAGGAGGAAAATGGTTTGTTATAGTGTTTGTATTTTGAATGGGTTTTACTTGATTGCAGCTAGGATCGACCGCAATTGGTTTGAAGACGAAAGAGGGTGTGGTCCTTGCCGTTGAAAAGCGTATCACTTCCCCTCTACTGGTCTGTTCTTGTTCCAATTGTTTAATTTTTTGATTAATTTAGTAGAAATTTTACCATCTTTTTGTGAAACTACTTTTAGCAATTAGTGTTTTCAATGTGAGAAAATATTTATTGCTGAGTGACACAGATGTGCTTTACAATAGATTAAATCCTGTGGACACCTGGTTGTTTTTGTAGATTTTGTAGACGCACTTGTGAATTTTGATAATTGACGTTTTTATTATAGATACAATGATTCTGGGGATATTTGGTAGATTAATTTAGTGTGAATTCTGCTTTCAGGAGCCTAGCAGCGTTGAGAAAATTATGGAAATTGATGACCATATTGGTTGTGCAATGAGTGGATTGATTGCTGATGCTCGTACACTGGTTGAGCATGCTCGAGTTGAAACTCAGGTACTGTTTGTTACCTTTGTAGGATGTTGTAGGTAGTTGATTGGTTTGTGATTGATATGTTTTGGTTTGTTGTTCACAGAATCATAGGTTCTCTTATGGTGAACCAATGACTGTAGAGTCCACAACTCAAGCTCTTTGTGACCTTGCTTTGCGCTTTGGTGAAGGTGATGAAGAATCAATGGTACAGAACTTATTAGCTTTGTTTTTCGTGTTTCTTTTGGTTTGCTTGCTTACGGTCTTTAATGGCCAAAACTTGTGAACTTGCCTAATTCCTTTTTGTTTACAAATTTGCCTAATGCCTTGCATGTTGCATTTTTGAATGTTTAATGAAGATATAAACAGAATTCTTGTTCCTATATTTTGAGATGCACAAATATCCTGAACTTACATCTATTGTGAAATATATAGCATTCCTATTAAAGGAGTAAGTACCTGTCCTTGTTTAAGGTGCATTTTGTAATCTACACATTGGTTTTGTTGCATGGGCCTAAAAGCTTTTTCTTTTGTTTAAGATACTTGTTTGAGGTGATACTTGACACCATTTTGTATCCTTTATAACACTCCATTTCTTTTTCTCTTTGACAGTCTCGACCATTTGGAGTGTCTCTCCTCATTGCTGGCCATGACGAGAATGGACCTAGCCTGTAAGTATTGTTTTTCCATCTAAACAATGGTTACGCGTGGGTCATGTGATAGACTCGTCCTTTTTGACTCATTTTCAGTGTTTGTCTGAATCTATGATATTGGTAATCTTTTTTGATTTGATGTTGTTGCTCCGTATATGTTACAATTACTTTTCGGGGATCAGTGAAATTACAGTGAAAGGACTTGAGTTGAATTTTTTTCAAGAACAATTACAAATTTTCTGGTTATTCATATGCAAAGAGTGGCTAATGAGTATCACTTATCAACTTGATATTTTGATGTGATTCATGTGATTCTAACTACTTTTATTTGATGTTAAATAATTTCTAAACCGGACATATTTGCCAAGAATTCTTTTCCTGCAGTGTTCTCTTTTTTGTTACACTCTGTTCCTTGAAAGTAACATATCACCTTTGTTCATCACTCCTTCGTTTCTTTTATGTTCCCTTTTTCCTCTCTCAAAGTAGTTGTGAAGATCATTGCAATTATTTCGAAGTTATGTAGTCCTTCATTTTTTCTTATCAATTACTTTATGGTTTCAAGAGAAAGATGCTTTAGTTTCAGGAATACACCTCTACTCTTTACCATTGGTTTGTATGTAAATACTTTTTTTTTTGTGTGTGGTTCAGTAGTCTACTTTGCATGTTCAACTGTTGGTGCCAAACAAATTCTGATCTTTTAGTTTATTCCATCAAACCAGTTCATGGTAGCAATATAGCACCTTTTGAACCTTAAGGGAAAACAATTGGGGGGTAATTTGTATCTTACCTTCTATAAGCACTTCAAGTTAACCCTAAACTGTGAGCAATTTTCATATTCATGCTCATTAAGACATTCTAATGCAGATCATTGTTTAAACAGAAAATAAACGCACAGCCTGGCTATTTTGTTTTTGTAGGCAGAGGCTCTATTACTTCTCTCATTAGATGATACAGTTTGGTTAATTGCATCATCTGTTACCTTTTTCATCTGAATGCTAATGTTCTGATTTGCAGATATTATACTGATCCTTCTGGCACTTTCTGGCAATGCAATGCAAAAGCTATTGGTTCAGGATCAGAAGGTGCTGACAGTTCTCTGCAAGAACAATACAACAAGGTAATTGTTCTTAAAGTCGGTTGTTTCTTAATCTTTCATTCTGCCTGTAGCATTAAAATTGTTAGTTGAGATTGAAGAGTGGAAAAGGGAGTGAAGCACACAGAATTAACTCATGGCTAAAACAAAAGGGATGAGATTATTATTATTTTAAATAAAAAACATTTTTGATGAAGCTCCCCCTGTTGGTCATCACTCTTCCTTCTTACTCCAGCCACCCCAAACCCTCCCTGACAGGCTGACGCCTTGCTGCAGCTACATGTAAATAGGAGGAGTACATTCAAATGAATGCTACACTAACAAGAGATTCACCAAAAGCAATAACAGCATATCCTTACCCCCAAATCTGAAATCATTAGTAAAATTGTAAAAGCACAGAAGTTTGGGAAAATAAAGTCAATAAAAAGAACAGAAAACTAAAATGAAAGGTGATTGATACCAATGCGGTGGGGAAAATAAGATTGCCAGAGACCTGCTTTGTGCCGGACTGAGTGGATTGTCATCGCGGTAGAGAAGGAATGGAGATGATTGGTTGAGAAAGGGTTTGTGGAGTAATGCATTTCAGCCACATTTTATTTTTAAAAGATTTACATAGATTTACAAATATTCAATAAACAACTGTTGGGAGAGAAAACAAAGATTAAGAAAAATGGAAGAATTAAATGATCAAAAAGATTTGATAAACCATCTCTCTTTCTCTCCAAATATATCCTTCAATTTCTTTTGAGAAATAGATACACTTTGGGATCCTTTCCATTTTTCAAAATAAATAGATTGTTCCATTTGGGGAGAGATAGAACAAAAAGTAGATAGTGGATTCTATCACCAAGTGGGTCCCACCATCATTTGGGGAGAAATAGAACAAAAAGTAGATAGTGGATTCTATTACCAAGTGGGTCCCACCATCATTGGATATAATTTAAAAATAAAAATTTATGTGTCAAGCTCTCCAAGTGGAGCCTTTCATTTCTTTTGAGAAATGAAGAGGGATCATAACTCAATAGATGCACAAATAAACGGAGATGTCCATCCACACACACGGAAAGGATCCAGGCCCTGGAAATGAGGAGTGCTGTTACCCAGCATGAATGGAAAGAGACATTGAGGAGAAAGATACCATTTTTATATTAATCACCCTAATGCTGTTACGAGAAAACAAAACATTGTCAATGATAAGAAGATATGATTAACCAGTCAAAAAAAGGTATTAAGTTTCAAGCAAGTATCATTGTGCATTCTTCCCATTTTTATGGAGTTTTACATTCAACTCAAATTGATACTTGTCCAAGTATATATCCATTGCTTGTGTTTTTGTCTGGCAAATGTTGGACTAGTTAAGTGTTCTATAATTTCAAATTTCAATTGTCAAATTAATGCAACACCATATGTGTTCATGGGCTGGCAACATTTTGCTTAAAGATTATCTCTCAGTATAGAGGCATCAAGATGACACGAAAACAACGGAGTTTGATGTTGATTTATTATGTTGTGCAGGAATTATCTCTTCAAGAAGCTGAGACTATTGCTTTATCCATTCTGAAGCAAGTTATGGAAGAGAAGGTAAAGTTAAAACTAAACCCATGTTCTTGCAGTTGTTGCTCTCCCTCCTACTGAAATGAAATGGAGAATAAAATGTAACTTGTTTCCTCTGTTCTGTACTTTTCACATCAGGTTACTCCAAACAACGTTGACATTGCCAGGGTGGCTCCAGCATATCATCTTTATACCCCTTCTGAGGTGGAAGCTGTGATAAGTCGCCTATGATTTTCATCCATTTGCGTGATTTGTTTCTTTTGTGCCTTTGTTTCTCCTGTACGACTATTTAATTAGTTGTGCACTGATACTTTTCTGGTACACAATGTTGCATGTAATGCTGCCGCCTTTATGCCCAAGTTTGTATGCGACACTAGATTCTCCTGTCATATTTGCTGCAATTCAGTCTAGTTAAAATTAAGGACAAAAATGATGTTTCGATGTTAGGGAAAATACAATACATTAACCAGAGCCATTCACAAGATCAAGATCCCTGCTACTATATATTTTAACTGTATGATTAACTTTTTTAATTGAACTATTTGATTTCGTATAAACCTGTGTTTAGATATTAAAAAAATGATGGAACACGATGGTAAATAATGGAATCGTTCAACAGGTTACTTCCATTATAATTTATGTTTTCAGAATAAAAAAAATCTACAAAATATATCCTGTATTTGTTTTACTGTTATTTTATAAATTTTGTAAATGCACATATATATTGTAAGGTTCTTGTTCTCGTTTTTGAACTATCTTAGTAAGAAAAAAAGCCGTGCTCGCAAACACGGAGTTCTAGAATGGGATAGCTCTCACGGTAATCCCCACACAAATAAACGGACATTGCTAGACTTTTGATATATTTAGTTCAGAAATTGTGCAATTCATCGCTGTTGATGTTGCACGATTGGGTGGAATATGGGCCAAAAGTTTTTCAAAATATTTGGGGGAATGATCTTTGCATTCAAGAGCTGTGTCCTGTGCTACTGAAAACTAAACTAAAAAATGTATGTGTTTGCGGATACATCTCTAAAATACATTTGAAGTCATTTAAAAGGTATTAGAAATGTATAAATTGCACATAGTGGAAATTTTAGAGATATATTTATGAAATTTTTTTGGATGATTATAAGGCAACAATATTGTTCTAACATCGTAACTTTTTAAGGTCGTTTTATATTAAAGTAAACTCAATAAAGATTCACACATTAATTAAAGTAAAATTAAAATGTATCGACATACATTAATTGTTTCAAAACTACAAAAAACGATACAACCAAACATAACTTACTGAGTATGTCTAACCATCTGACTTCTTCGTCTGTATTGCAAGACATTCCGTGCCTACGCAATAATGTCTTTTATGAAGGTCAACTGAGGACCACCTTCCTCATAAAATCACGTCTCTAGTATCTTTAAGACTGCCTTCCAAGAGCGTTAGATGTCATTATAATGTGTGACACTCTATAGAACTATGTCATGTAGTCGTCAACATAAGCTTATTATACAAGAGCTGTCACCCTACGATAATCCTCTGATACCAAGTGACTCTCAAAATCCTCAAGTATCATATCAAGATCTTTGTGGCATACGATGTGAGGAGCGGACTCTGAGGGGTGTCTTAGAATAATTTCCAGATACCCAAACTGTCGCATCACTCGCTCGGACAAATACAAATACATCGACCTGATCCACATGTCAGCCATCTAAAGTATAGCGAAATGAGGTCAAGCTGATCTGTCTCGTGATGACCGTCGTATGGGAAGAAGGCAATGTCATTTACTACATGACATTTCATCTGCTTCATCTTCCAAAGACAACCCTGACCAACTTCGAGTACATGTAAACCAAACACGCGCCCCCCTGTTGTATTCACGAATCTCCGTCAAATCGATGAAGTATTTAAGAAGACCACATCAACATATGTTGCACTTTTGTCCATAAAAATGAACGTGCTAACCAGGAACAAGAGGTAACACTTAAATGCACACTGTCGGTGGTACTCAACCTACATATCATCACTATTGGCATCCTCAGCCCATTGTAACCAGTCTTTATAAGGGTTTTCTAAGAATTTAAGTCTAGCATGAGCACCTATGGTGTTAGCTACCTCATTTGCAGCATCTGTTGGGTCAACAATAAAATATATAATCAGCCACTCGCAAGATTCCTCTCGATTGAGCCTTCTGTGGTCCAGTAATTTTCCCCTGAAGGGAAGATATTAGAGGCATGAGATGTTAACTTGGGTGATGGTCATCTCTCCAACAGGAAGGTAACAAAATGACATCTCTGAATGACATCTCTCGGCAAATGCCGTCTGCATGCCATGGTTTATGGTTATGTACACAACAACATATAAATCAACAAGACCAGAAAAAAACATAGCATTTATGAACCAATCAACATCGGGATGTTCTAAAGCCAATATCTTTTTGTCGTGGTTTACCAATTTTAAATATGAACGCTCCTGTAAAAAAAGTATGACCATCAGTTGTGATTTAATTAGTTTAAAACATATGTAATGCAAAAGTAAATGTATATACATCTCCTTCCCAGACATTCCTAGCAACATGGTCTCCATAGAGAGGAAGTAAAAAAGTGTTAAATAGGCCTCCTGGATAAATCTCTACATGAGCATTCGAAGCGGGTTCCTCATATGCCTCAAGGGCTTCATTATCTAGAGACACGTGGCCCCGTGAAGCAGAGACATGAGTTACCCCATTGCTGCCCTAACCTCCAACAAAACAGAAATTCACATCCATTTAGGAACCTATTTCGATTGCATTACTATCTAATGTAGCATAAACAACTTATGTGACCTAAAACATCATTCAAAGCAAAAAAAAAAGAATTTTGAAAAACGTACCCAATCAATGGATAAGAAAGAGAAATTTGAATGAAAGAGAAAGAACTCAAATGGTAGAAGCTTGAATGGATGAGAATGAGATCAAATGATATTTTTTGAGTGACTTTTTAGAAAATGAAAGAGGAAGACGGAAGAGTCTGACGCGACTATATAAATAAAAGCGTTAAGAGATGTATCTCCGAACAACTCACTGATTTTTAATTAAATTCTAAATTAACTTTTTTTTTAATATTATGGAGATACATCTCCAGATTAACCTTTTCTGCATACAGAGATGCATCTTACGTTGAAGAGGGTGTAAAAAAGAGATACGTTCAAAGATGCATCTCCAGATATTAGGAACAATCGTGACTTTTTCACAGGGCGGAAGAACACTCCCAAGGGTGAAGAAGATAATCCCCAAATATTTTGTTTCTAGCCTCTTCAAATCTTTTACCAACTTACCACTTTTTTCTAACTTATACACCAAAATACCACATTTTCACACTATATATATTAAGCTATTATATTTTCAAACAATTTATTTTTTTGGTACAATGCAACTGCGCCAAATGCTTTGGAAGTTGTATTAAAAATTTAAAAGGTGTTTCCATTGCAATGTAGGGTGAGTTAAAAATTTTAAGGCTTAATTGTAACTATGGTCCCCCTATTTTGTATTTATTTAGGTTTTGGTCCCCCCATTTTAAAAACTACGATTTTTGTCTCTTTTTTAAGTTTTGATTTGATTTTAGTCCCCTTTTCAATTTTAATTTTTTTAATGATGTGGCACTATCTAAGATGACGTGTCTAATGCCAGGTCATTTAAAAAAAATAAATTTAAGACTTTTTTTATTGACTAGGATAATTAACTTATTAATATTATTTTAATTAATTAATTAATGATTAATATTTTATTATTAATTTTTATAATTAATTAATTAATCAAAAATTTAAATGAAACTCTTTAGGCCTTTAGTTATTGACCCATGTCTTTGGTCCATCTTTCTAACCTACAATTGAATTGTTGTGTTTGTTTCAGCTTTATAAACACTTTTGTGTCTTATACAAAAATCAATGTGGAACTTCTAAAAGACATTTTATACTGCAACATTATTGTGATACCCCAAAATTTTCCCTTAGATTTAATAGTTTCATTTCTTGTTTCATTTTTGCATTACATTTAACTAATCACTAACAGGTTTGTGTAGTCTGTTGGTTTTGCAGGAAAGATCACACTGTGCGCTCGTTGACTGACGAAGGGAAAAATGGTCATTTATATGCAGCCGCTGACAATCTATGAAGCTGAATTGTCTTCAGGAATTCCTCAAGTGATTAGGGTTTCCATCATCGAGTCCTACGATTTATTTGAGGGTGAGCTGGATTTTACGGTAGTTTCGACGTCCGATTCCTCGTAGTACGGTGCATTCTATTCAAGGGCCGAGTTTCAACCGTCAGGCGGATTTCAAAAATACCTTTTGAGTAATAAGCCATCTGTGACTGAGTGGGTTGAGATATCAACTAATTTTGGTTAACTCAGTACGAGATTTTTACTCTGCGGAATTTATTTTAACAGACGCTCGTTTTCCTTTCTTTCTGCTGGTCAGTAGTCGATTTTGGAGGAAACATTAGAATTTCGATTCGCGTGTGAATTTATGATGAGCAGCTGTTTATTTTGATCGGGACTGTTAGATTGGGCTGATTCAGGGACTATATTTACTGACTTTATTGTTAGACATGAATTAATTTGCAAAGGGATCAATCGAGCTTAGCCGTTACGGAGAATTTAAACTGGACGAGTTGATAAACTGACAAAATTTGGAGTTAGCCGTCACAGTTTAATCGGACATTTTCATTGGGTAAGTTTAATTAATTAATTTGATGAATTTAATCAGACAGGTTCTAAACAAATGGATTTACCCAAATTTGATAAGTTTAATCGGTTGATGGAATAAGATGAATTTATTGGCATGGATATAATTGAACGAAGTCTGACCAGACAAGCTCGTTCAAATTGAATTTTTCTGGAGAAGCTTGATCAATTAGGAGAATTTAATTGTTTAAGTCAATTTGGAACAATTTAGTTGGGACAAGCCAATTAAGTGAATTTATCCGATTGAGTTTATGCGTTTAAGTTTTATCGGAGGAGTTTATTTGGAGTTTGGAAGCGGAAATTGAAGTGGAGAAATGCAATTGGAAAGATAATTGAAATTCATTCGTTTTGATTTTTTGTATTATTACAATATCTCAATAGTTACAATATTGAAAAATAATAATTTACAAATAAACTCTTAAATTCCTAATTATCCTAAAGTGGTCTTCGCGTCCGATCTCTCGACTTTATCTTTCCCGAACCTGCAAAGGAAAGTCAACAATGGAGAAAATAATG